AAGTATAAAATTACTAGACATTAATGAGAGAACCTGACGCAACGGAATCAGATTCGATCTCCTCAACATTTGCATATATTCGCTTATACGTATAATTTTAAGAATTTAATGGGGATTTTGTTCAGATTTCATCAGACTGTAATATATTTTTTAAGACAAAACATATGGTAGGTTATATCATTTTATGTAGCGCCCTCGTTAACCAGTTTTGTAAATTATTAATCCCGTATTCATTATAAAGCAAATATTGTATAATATAAGGTTTCGCGACTTTACGAAAACAATAAATACAGCACATCTTCACATCTTCGTATTTCTTCTTTGTGCCTAGACCTACACCAATCCCAACAAAGATTCTGTTTCACGCACCGCAGACAATCTTAACTTGGCCTTAGGCCCTGAGTGTTTGGCGTAAGAGTGCTCAGATTTCTCATGTTTTTAGTTATTGACAGTTCCAATAAATTTGTTGCATTAGGCCTATTTTGTCAATGTTGATGTGAAAGGCATAGACATATATATACCGGAACTCGGTTGAATTCTTGGTATTTTTTTTAAATTTTAAATATAGTCTGTTTTCTTCGAGATGCTCGTAAAACGCAGATACACTGTGACGACAGATCATGGGGATCGGCTCAAACGTTTCGTAATGGAACTTTTTAGAGGATCTATCAAATTGGACTAGGAATACGCGGATGTCCCACACTTACACGTGTTCACACGGGACAGTAACAATAGACAGGCGATTCAAATTGATGACGTAAACGTTTTCGTCATCGAAAGCTTGCGAAAACTCTGTAATAGATAATAGAATGGATATTTATTAAATGCTATTATACAATCACTTTAACTGGATGAAATTAACCAGCTGAACTCAAGTGCCAAAATATAACCTCAGCAACTCCGCCCCGGGGTTGAATATCATTACTCATTCGTTTACATATCGCTTACAAAATGCATGGGGAAATGTGAGAAGCATTTCTTATAAGAAAATATGATTGCTTTATTTATAGTTCTTAGGATCGGACGCTGAACCGGGACCTAGTTTTATTGGACGGTTCGTTCGATGTTCTGTTTTTTAAATGTTTTGCCGGTCCTGTGGGTTTTCGCTCGCTCTTCTTGTAGTTTCGCACTTCCCGTTTTATACCTTCTTCTTATATTGTCGGAATGTATTTTTATCATAGTCACATGGATCTATAAAATTATATGCCTTTATCCACGTTCATTTATGTGTATTCTGTGCATCCGATCGTTTAGAATTTAATTTATTTCTTTCGGCTTTCTTTATTATGTTTGTATCATTACCAGCAAACTATCATTGCGCGTCATCTGAGTCATAACACCTGCTCATTTCACAAACTAATCAATTGTATACAAAGAGGAAAAAATATAAGGGTTTGACTTGCACGAGAAGGCTGCTTGACAGCAATGCATGTTGCGATATCATTAATGATAGTATTATTCCTGTTTCGTTGTCTTTCTTTGATTTTTAGTATATGAGAGGTAGTTCCATGGAATTCATTTCTTTCGTGTTCAGATCACACATCGATATTTAAAACAGGACAATTACGATGCAGACCGAAATGTCAAAAGGCAAGTTAATCAGGTACATCCCCTTTCTATTCTACCACTTCCAGTATTTTGAAAAACGGATAGTTGATAGGAATTTTTTTTTCTCTACTCTTTAATAAGCGTCATGGTGCATAAAACAGGGTGAGGTGGGGAGAGGTGGCACAGTGCCAATCGACAATCGAGGATATATGGTGGGGAGGGTTTGAATGTTTCATTTCCTATTGTGGGCTCCGGGGAGCGTATTCTCTATTAAACAATTTCACTTTGCTGCCGTCAAGGATGAGAGCTCATGGGGGCGAGTGCCACTTTCGCCACAGTGGCGGCACCAGCGGCCGGTGGGAGGGGGGCAGGGGCTTAAGTCCCCACCGGACAGGTCAAGACCCCCCCCCGCCGGTCAGAGCTTGACGGGCAGTCAGACCATAAAACATATAAAAATAGGCCCACACCAAGCCAACACATGTCTGTCACAGTCTGAGAGTGCCATTTTCGGCCATCCGGATGTTGATATTCTTTTAAAAAATCTCATTTGGGAGGGGGAACCTCCTCTCAACCCCTTCCTCCAGCTCGAGCCTACGAGCTCAAGTCCTCCCTGTCGGACAACTTAGCCCCCCCCCCCCCCCCCCCCCCCTTAGAAAATATATCCTAGAGCCGCCACTGTTTCGCCACCCCCTTTACTGTATCTGTCACTGCAACTCGCGGCTGGAGTGGACAAAGTCGAGGAAAATACCTTAGCCAAAGACACAAGTGAAATGCACATCAGGAATTTGGAATCCAGGGGAAGAGGATGAACGCCCTTTTCCCGCTCCTGGAACCAGTCGCTACTGGTACTATGAGTAGAGATATTAATGTGATGTGTACGTGATCCTGTCGTGAAAAAAGTCAATCAACCGCCTTAAGCACTTCTTTAAAATGAAAGTTATTTTTTAATTATTATTATTATTATTATTATTATTATTATTATTATTATTATTATTATTATTATTATTATTATTATTAAGTGATGGAGTTCTTGGGTGAAACATGATTTTAAAATACGGATGCTAAGTTACTATTATTTAGTAAAATAATAATAGTTATTCTATTAAAAATAGAAATGTTCGCCCTTTTTACTCTTTGAATATTCATGTTGGTAATGAAACCATTGATGAGGTAAAAAACATTCGTTATTCAGGACTTCATGACTTCAAATTGATGAAAACCTTACCTGGAATGACCATATTCAAAAATTAAATAAAACTATTGGGTAAAAATTAACATCCTAAATAAATTGGCAGAAACATTAAATGAATCTTTTCTAAATATTCTTTATAAAAGTACAATACAACCCTGTATGGACTATGCAATCTCAGTGTGGGGAACTACGTCTAACAAAAACAAAAACATTCTATTAAGGATACAGAAACTAGTTGATAGAATAGTTTAAAATAATTTTGATTTTATAAATTTTCGTGGAATTGATCTTATTAAGCAAAATAATTGGAAACTTTTTGATGAGCATAGAGATTACGCCCTAGCATGTTTGATGTACAAATGTATAAATGGCGTTGCACCTTCCCGCTTATGTAATTATGTAGAAATGGTTGTGGACCGACATGGATATTCTACGAGATACGCTCACTCGCTTAACGTTATCCCCCCTATTCAAAATTGTTCTGTAATGAATGGTTCCTTTAAAAATTTCTGGAGCAAAAGTTTGGAACAAAATCCCAATCAAAATTCAAGAATGTCAATCTCTTAATTTATTCAAAATTACTTATAAAGAAAAACTTTTTCTGATTACCCAATTAATTTCCTTTTATATTTTCTTGGGCTATATTTCAAACATTTAATCCGGCCCCGAAACTTGACTCAGAAGTAGCCTACCGGGATGGTGTCCGGCGGGGAATAGTTTTTACCATTGTTTAGTTAGGTTTGTAGTTAAGATAAAAGTTGTGATCCCAGCCCCGAAACTTTGACTCAGAAATACCGGGATCTGTCCGGCAGGGGAATAGTTTCTACAATTTTTATCTATTTAAGTAATTTTACAGTATTTTTCCTACCTTGAATCCCGGCCCCGAAACCTGGACTCAGAAATACCGGGTTGGTGTCCGGCGGTGGATAGTTTTTACCATATTGTAGTTAAGTTATGTAGTTAAGCTTAACCTTGATCCGTAATTCCTGGCCCCGAAACTTTCACTCAGAAGTACCGGGTTGGTGTCCGGAGGGGGATAGTTTCCCCCAAAAGTTTTTACTACTCCTTTATTGTAAGGTGCTGGTTATTTTTGCTCTTGTTATTGTACTGTGTTTTTGCAGGACCATATTGTAAAACAGCGATAAGATCCCGCCTGTAGTTATCCTGCCTAAAGATGTTTTAAATTAAAAAAAATAAAACAAAATTAATTGCTTGGGGTCTAAGCGATATAAACTATTTTATGAAAAAAAAAAGACACACGATTGTTAAAACATCACAATTTACATAAATACCTATATTACTAAACTTAAAATTCATATAAAGAGTGGAAACATATATTACAATATTAAATATAATAATCTACTGTATAATATCAAAATTATAACATCTAAACATACGATTACATATTTTTTTTAACGAACGCATTTAATTTCGTTTCAAATCAAATTACGACAATTTATACGTCTTCTCGCAATTTGTTGCCCATGCATGCAGCCTCATCACTATGTATATTTATATATCTCTTATACACATCTAGATGTGTATAAGAGACAGGTCTGAGAGTGCCATTTTCGGCCATCCAGAGGTTGATATTCTTTAAAAAAAATCTCATTTGGGAGGGGGAACCCCTCTCAACCCCCTTCCTCCAGCTTGGGCCTACGAGCTCAAGTCCCTGTGTTAGTCAGCTTAGCCCCCTTAAAAAAATATATCGTAGAGCCGCCACTGGTTGACTTATTCCTGGCTTGAAAATGCTCTCAAAATCACTTTGAAATGCAGGACTGTCCCACATGATGCAAGACGGTTGGTAACTACAGTAGGCCTATGCTGTATTTTAGGTCAACATAGGTCAACCCAAGTGTGTAAACTGAACATTTTCATGCCAGGCATGAGATCTTAACCTTACTGAGTCAACCCAGGCTTGAGGTTCTAGTGTGACTGTAGCCTATATATTGTACCTGTCTCTTATACACATCTAGATGTGTATAAGAGACAGGTATAGAATAGTGCGATATCTGCGAGTGTTAAAAAACGTTACCTAACCAAGTTGGAACTCGGGATCTGCTGCTAACTAAAGACGCCTAAACCAACTGGGCGACGTGGGCTTTGTTGCGAATTATTTATTACTAGTATTAGGCCTAATATTGCTGTAGTCCTATTATTATTACATTCATTTATATTATATATTATTAGAGCTGATACTATGTATTTTTAATGTGTTTATTCCCGGAGTTCATATCAGATCAGAAAACATTTGTTTAAAAGCAGCATTCATACATTACTGAGGAGGATGCTATTTTTGTTGTTACGAGCTCCCTGGATTTTGCAGAAATTAAGTACTGTATTAGATAATGTATGATTGTAAACCATCCGCAGGACCGTGATTGGCTGCCGGTCGCAGACTTTAAATACACTGGCCAATTAAATAGCACGGAGATTGTCCGTTCATCAGTAGTCGGCAGGTGATCGTGACTGCGATGCGGTAGTGCAGTTCAGCATGAATTTACAAAATCAGACGCTGTCTGTAGCTATTTCAGCTCAAACGGACAATTTACCCTGGGCATCGATGTCTGGAGTGAACACAACGCCGGAGAGCTCGATAGAACCATGTGGCGAAGCACTGCTTGGCCTAGAAGCATGGGGTCTTGTACGCACCTCTCTGATAGTACTTTTAAGTGTTGCAACGTGCGTAACAAATTTCGTTGTTATAGTAATTCTTCGTCTAAACGATGGTCTTCATTCGGTTTCCGGTACATTCACTTCAGGAGTTGCTATAGCAGATTTATTCATAGGATTACTTATCATCCCACCTAATGTGCTTGATTCGTCGTACCCAGACGTTTGGAATAACTCCCGACCAATGTATTACGTCTGGGTAACGTTAGACTATTTTCTTTCAATTACGAGTATTTTAAGTATGATTTTATTGAATTTAGATCGTTTTTGGTCCATTACTTATCCGATCAAATATATTCGATTACGGACCAAACGTCATGCCATTATGATGATAGCAATTATTTGGGGAATTGTATTTGTGATTGTTATACCTTTTGCTATCACCTGGAAATATGTGTACCCTGATGCCGAACCGGTGTCGGCGCGTTCAAATTTCGTGCAATACGGAGCTGCATCTTGGTATTTCGCTACTGGTTCAGTGTTCGTGTTTGTTATACCATTGTGTATTACATGTGCAATGTATTTCCATATTATTAAAGCCATTCAGAAGCGGTCAACAATGGCGATTGGCCGGATGAGCGCTGGTAGCATGGCCTCAAAGAACTCGAAAAAAGACAGTGAGAACGCATACAGTTTGGTAAGCCAGAGTGACATCTGGCATTTGCAATCCCTCTATGACAGTGCTGTCAATAGCCCTACTCATTCTGCTGCGTGGAACAATCGTTATATCGTAAACAACAGAAGTGTTGGGTGTTACGCTAGTATTGATGAAGAGGCTGAGAGTGACGATCAAGAAAAAAAGTCCAAGGCAGGAAGTTCATTAGAAGGAGAACAAGACGACTTTTCTCTCTTCGAGTCTGGCCGTACAATGAATCATAAAGTTGAAACGACTGTTGGCAGTTCCTCTACATCGGGTGTTTCAAAGGAGCCATCAGGATGTGTAGAGGCGTCAACTTTGGAAGTGGCCGATAGCGAAATTGTCGTCACACAAGCGAAACAGGAGATATTGAGCGTAACCAATCTGAGTCAAGCCGAAAACATCCATCATGTATGTCAAAATGGCCGTCCAAATGGCGTCATACCCATTACCGCGGCCGAACGAGATAAAGACCGTAAGCTGAAAGTCGACAACACTCCTGTTAAATCGCATATAAAAAACGGTGATGTACGTAGTAGTAACAATAATTCAAACACATCTAGTCAAACACAGAAACGTATAAGTCAAAGGTATCTTACACGTCAAGGTTTGAGTGACAGTTGGCTGCCGCGTAATGGTCATACGACACGGCGAATGCGTGGCAAGTTGTCGTTGCCACAGGGTACTGACGATCACCCATTACAAATTAGGCCGATTTTAAGCCTCCGACAAAGCGCTTCAAGTCCTCAACTACCCAGCACGACTTCCTCACCGATGATACCAAACCACACGTCATCGAATGGACACGCTACACTTCTAGGAAATAAGCGCCGAGATATAAAGCGCAATGGAGATTATTTCGCAAGCAATCCATCGTTTCGAGGCTCCACGGGATCGGTACGCGCACGATTACGCCATTCGTTGACTGGCCTCAGTGGTCGTGGTAGTAAAGTTCTTTTAATACTAAAACGAGCTCAGAAAGCTGCAAAACAGCTTGGCGTGATTCTGACATGTTTTCTGATATGTTGGATGCCTTACTTCGCACAGGTTATCGTTTACGCGATCTGCCCAAACTGCACAAAGCCCAAACTTATGACCATTGCTGTGTACATGGGCTATGTCCATTCACTCTGCAACCCTATATTGTACATTACGTTTAACCTGCGATTTCGGAAGGCATTTCAAAAGGTGATTTGTCCTTGCTATACCCCTCGAAGATGGTATCACAAACAGGCATTACGCCATGGGTCACGTGAGCATCAATTGAGCCGTTTGTACTCTGAAGCTCAGTTGTGAGTCAGTCTGCGATTCTGATGCAACGGATATTTCTATTTTGATATTAAGATATATATATATATATATATATATATATAATATATATATATATAAAATATATATATATAAAATATATAATATATATATTTCGATGTTTATTATTAAATGTTGTGATATTATAAGCTGTGCTGGTGAACAAGCTTTATTATTCTATATATTTGAACACGTCCTTGAAAGATATCTCGGGAGATGTGGTTTGATATTGAACACGAATCCTAACGAAAGAAAAGGTTTTATGAAAAGCAGGGTGCTAGTGGAATTTTCTAAAGACTTAAATATGATTAATGGACCAAATGAAACGATGGGCTTGAGTACAACGCATTCTCGCGTTAGCAACGCATTGATCTGTGACACTTGCTTGCAATTACGTGTGGGTTCACCCCACTGAGAGTTGGATTTGGTTTTGTTACGTATGTGACGATTCCGGAATCATGTTGTGTAGAGTTTTTACCTCCTTGTGTACCAGAATAATGGTTTTTTTGCACTAACTATTTTGTTATAATATCCTTGACATTTTAACTGAACAAAGGAATAATTAATTTCTAAAGGAGTTTTATATTGGCATACGTCATACTGATTACTACAACACACGTTCACATCGTATATCTGAACAAGAGTAACCAAATTCAATTTCCGATGATCACGAATAAAATAAGCAGAAATCACAGGGACCCTGTATGTATTCTCTGGTATTATTTTATATTTATTTATAATGTATTTATATATTTAATAATAATTATATAAAATAAATTGATGATAATTGTGTATCGCCTGTTGAACAGATAAAAGAGTAAAATAGAAAAGAATAAATTTTATAAAGTGATTTGATATCATTCGGTAATCTATATATTGAAATTATTTTTTATGTTTTATTATGGTCAAATCCATGCTATACAAAGAAACCAAATTCAAACATGCTTTTTGAAAAATATATTATATAAAACAAGCCTATACTTATATATTTGTATGTTTATATTTGTTTATGTTGTGTATATTCTTAGCATAGGCCTATTGTTAATTTGGTATGCAATATTAAGGCTTGCAGAGCCCTATTTATAATGTTTATATTATCTATATATGCATGCTCATAACGATGATTTCCGTGTTGGTATAAAAGAATAGAAACTGCATGTGACACTGGGACACTAATCCTCATGAACCCACTTATAGGCCTATTACTATTGTTATTGTTATTATTATTTAATATCATTATTGTATAGGTTCTGTCTCTTATACACATCTAGATGTGTATAAGAGACAGTTTAAACACTGCCTCTTTTTGAATGACACAATTTGAATGGACATTATTATTATTATAAATTACCTGTGTAATTGTTTCCTTTTGTTAGTATTGTTTGCAATAATAATATTTGCTTATTATTCTTCGAGTGTATGATACCTTGCACCATGTGCAGCGTTTTATTCAATAGATGTACGCATTCCGGAACGGACAAATTGGGGATTTTTTCCAAGTCCCTGGTATTATTACTAATGACCTTGGCCAACCATTGACAAATATTGTTATGTTTACATATAATAATAGTAATGTTATACTCTTCACTCTTTCTGCTGGTTCCTGTGCTATTTCAATTTTTCGTGGAATTTTGTTTGTATCAAAAGCAATATATTTTTTTCTAGTGGAATAAATTTAGCATTGTTTTTATAAACGCTACCGATGCCTAGTGCGTATAATTTGTATAGGTCTGCATCTGCGGATATATATAAAGAGCACGTGTGTAGGCTACGTGTTAGAAGGCAATGGTGTCCATTCCAGTTTTTTGCTAAGAGGGCCACAAGCTTTCAATCAATCGAGTTATTGGAAACACTTTTGATACAGTGGCACTCGTACAAAATGTATGTTCATTAAGTAAAGAAATAACCACATTAATAAGCTCTTACGCGCATTATATTTAAAAACAAAATTATTGTCCATTTATATAGAAATACGTGTGTGCTAATCGAACAACGCGTTGTAGCTGTATTTTTCTATACATTATGTTCAGTAACTAGATCATTATTATGCACTTCATAACTTCGATTTTCTCAAGTATGTGTGTATGACTTTCGAGGCACGTGTCTTGTGCAAATGATCTCCACTGTTAATGAGTACCGGTAGATGAAAGAAAACAACCGATATCTTGATGGATTTTTTAAGCACTCGCCTCTATTTGTGCATTGAATATATACGGTATGACAGGCAATTATCATCGCATTAAAGCCCTCAGCTTGAAGAGTTTTCTTTGAATGTTCAATGTCATTCGCACTATCAAACTAATAATGATGATGAATATAATAATAATAATAATAATAATAATAATAATAATAATAATAATAAGAATAATAATAAGAATAATAATAAGAATAATAATAAGAATAAGAATAGGAATAAGAATAGGAATAGGAATAAGAATAGGAATAAGAATAAGAATAAGAATAAGAATAAGAATAAGAATAAGAATAATAATAAAAATAAAAATAATAATAATAATAATAATAAAAATAATAATAAAAATAATAAAAATAATAATAAAAATAATAATAAAAATAATAAAAATAATAATAATAATAATGAAGAAGAAGAAGAAGAATAAGAATAACAAAACAAAAACAATTATTAAATATATAGTATAAAGTATTATTATTAATCTTTACTATTTTTTATATGTTAAATAATGATAATAATAATAAATATTATTTTTATTATTATTATTTTTAAATTGTTATTATTGATAGTATTATTATTTATATTATTATTAAATAATGTAATTGCTTGTAATTGAATTGCTTGTTTTGTTTGTTTTTTCTTTCGGAAACTGCATGTGACACTGGGACACTAATCCCCATGAACCCACTTATAGGCCTATTACTATTGTTATTGTTATTATTATTTAATATCATTATTGTATAGGTTATTTAAGAAAAGAAATACAATCCACCTAATTGTGTCTTTACTGTGTTGGGATTACTTGATGTTACAAAAACATAATTGTTATGAGTGGAGAATTTCCTTCTATGAAGACAGGGAAATCTAACCATTGGGTCTATATATTTGTTGTCGTCACAATGGTTCAATTAATTACCTGTAGTTATTATGTTTAGCTCCGATGAGGAGCTCTCGGAACACTCGGCCGATTGATTATCTTTTTGTATGGGCGATTAATAGATCTTTTTTATGGGCGGCCGTTATGGCCAATATACTCTACTGCCTCTATTATACCGCCCTCATTGGAGCTTTCGAGATTTCGAGAACTTGTTTACATTAAATATTGCACTATTAATATAGCAATCTTTGACCTCTGCCCCCTCCCACTTCAGTACCCAATCAGATGCCGGTTCATTCATATTGTGTCATTCATGTAGCAGGCGAAATAAAATTCCTTCAGTCCTTTAGAAACAAATATTTGAATTGTAAAAATGTTGAATAATAGATTCAAGAAAATTCAAATTTATAGCTCTTACTAATATTGAACCAGAAATCGATACATCAGTTTTATTGTATCATTTGTGTGAGAATGCAGTCCATTGTTTATGTTGATTCAATATCCACCATTATCAAACATATGCTGTCTGTTAGTTAAGTAAATAATCTCGAATAAGTAAATTTTGAGTCGTATATAAATTATTAGTTTTAAATTGAAAAGCACAGACGCATACCTGCTTCTAGTTTTACAAAGACGAATTGGCTGTTGTCACAGTAAGTCCATGTCTAGACATGCCTAAATATGGTCATGATGACATCACATCATGACCATATAGGCACATAATGGTTATATATGATTATTTAAAAGGTCTGTAATTCAGAAAAATAAAAGTGTGTGACATCCTTTTCATTACGGTTTCTCATTGAAACTTTATAATTCATTTAAATGTAAGCTGTTCATTGTTTTTATTTACATTTTCAAATGGGAATATTTGCTTTAAGGTCAAAAAGGGGTCTATATATATTGTTATGTTAAGTATTTTTATTTTATTTAAATTAGACCATATTAAATTTGTTTTAAATATTACTATTAAAGATATACTGCCTTTCATTATAAAATAAGAAAAAATGAATTGCTTAATTTGTATATTTGAATAAGTATTAACTTCCAGTTAAAAAATTGAATGAGAAAAAATCTCTGCCAATTAACTAACAGATAAACTTTATTGTATTCTTTTTCATAAACCTTAAATTGGCTGGTAATCAATTAAAGGATTTAAAAAAAAAAAATCTGTTTTTGATTACAAAGTTAATAACTTTATTAATTTTCTATTAAATTTTGAATGTTTTTGTAATTTTTGTTGGTAGACAGTACATTTTTCAATACTCTACATTGAAATTGATGGCTAGTATTTAAATATAGAAATTAACCATTCAAGTTTAGATAACGTTAATTGATGGTGCTTGTTCAGCTGCTGTTTTAACGACCAAAGCCTTGTATCTGCTATTTTATTCTTGATATTATTATTATCTGCTATACAAGACAAACATATATTATGAATATTATTAAAGCGATCAAGGATATAATACAGAGCCTTTAAAGTCGCAACGTGTGACGTCATATGTAGAGTAGTCAAATTACGTTTTTATGAGCTAGAATTGGACCTTTTCGCCTCCTAAACGCAGCAAAGGATGTGCATTACGCTTGGGCTCACTTGCAAGTGGACAGAACCAATTCGTTTACATTGTGACATTGATAATTTGGTTCAAGATTTTACATATTTCACATAATTCATCTGTTGAGTTAAATGTTATTCTCGTGTCTAACGCCTAAAATGTATGATGGCCCTGCAGTATTTCTTCATGTCATTTATTTACTTATGTGATAATGATTCCACTATTATTTTTCGTTTATAATAGATTTCTCTATTATATTTTCGTTTATAATGGATTTCTCGATTATTTTTTCGTTTAAGTATATGAATTCGTATGCATCGTTTGTGTCTTGTCTGTTTTCTCCTGTCGTCGAATATGGATCAAAGTGAGATCTGAATTTGTAATTTCCTCAAAAAGGTGGGATTACTTTTTCTCATCTGTTTTGCTTCATTACGATACAATTACTGTTTTTTACTCACTGCGTGCAAATCTTGTTAATCCAAATACATTTATTGACATTTTCATAATCGCATAGTCTGCCGCTGAGATGAGAGCACTATCCCTGCCTATCTACTACCAGAGTAGAATATGTCCGTTAAGGAGTCGTCATTTTGATATTATAAGATCAGTTTTTGGTAATCATTAGCGATCTAGTTTTTATATTAAGGAGCCACGATTTTTATATTAAGGATCCATTTGGATTTTGAGGGTTCGTAGTTGAGCTATTAAGAATCCGTATCGAGATTATTAACCATTGTTAAGATATTGAGGTATTATTAAGGCACCTTATTTGAGATGGTAAGGATCCGTAGTTGAGATATTAAGGATCCATAAAATAAGGTATTATTAAGACACCTTTTGAGATGGTAAGGATCCGTAGTTGAGATATTAAGGATCCGTAAATTGAGACTTATAATTAGTAAAAAGCTGTAGCTTGAGATATATTAAAGAGAAGATCTGTGTTTGACAATATCAAGGTTTCTGATATTAGTGATCCGTTTTGGATCCGACCATGATGATCCGACGTAGTTTGGATATTCAAACTCATGAATACATAAAAGTATGACTCGGACTGAAGAATGTTCGCTTTTACCAAAATATATTATTATTTGTACAACCATTGCATTGTTTAAAATTGTTTTTGTAAAAGTCATATCTACAAATGTGACATGACAAAGATCTATACACACTAACTGCCTTGATATACGTTATTTCATTGAGTACTCGTTATTTCATTGAGTACTCGATAAGCCGTGTTGCCATCGTAAACATTAACTCTTAGCCCTAGCGGTGTATTTTCGTAATGTTAGTATAATATCCATATGTCTGTACTGTATAGCATCAAATATTCTACAACGTCGGTGGATATTGGACAACCATTAAAAGTGGGAAAAATAATCGAATGCAATTAACGTCGCTATAGAATGTTAAACCAAATTCCAACCCTCTCTGTACACAGTGTATTGTATCGTTTTATACATTACTGGTGTAATGTTGATGTAATATTGCCGGATATTATGGAGATGATAATCAGAGAAGCACGCCAGTTAAAGGACGTGAGA